AGCCATTTGTGACGTATAGCACGGCAGAAGCAGAACTTGTCAGTTACTGCGAAGCTCTTTGTGCAGGTCGTGCCACTGAAGCCTTGATCTGCTCGATGCTCAAGGAGCCAGTTGGCCAGAATTCTCTGGAGCGCGTCATCTATGGCGACAACATGGCCGCAATATCAATGGCGCATGGAACTGGAAATGCCACGTGGCGAACCAGGCACTTGCGAGTGAGATCTTCTTTCCTCAAGGAGGCTTTGGATGGCGTGGCCCTAGATGGTGCTTGGAAGCTGCTACATCTTCGTGGCACGGAGTTGGTGGCGGACGGGCTGACTAAGCCATTAGCTGGCCAGGCTTTCTTCAAGTTTGTGGATGATTTGGGCTTTGTTGGAGCGAGAGCAGAGAACTCCAACGAGGAGCCCATGGAACATGCAACAGGTGGCGGAGGAAACTATGCAGTGATCAGAGCTATGGCTCTTGGAAGCGTGCTCTTATCAACAGCTGCAGGTGCGTCTGATGAGAATGATGCTGGCGAAGATTTTTCTTTGATTTGGACGACTGGGCTCCTTTTGGTGGCTATGGGGGCAGTCTATGCAGGGCAGTCTATGCAGGGCAACTTTTTCATAGTGCTACGAAGTGTTGCCCGAAGAGACTGCGAGAGTCCAAGGAGTCGGGTCATAGACCAAGTCTGAGGAGGTTGTCAGCGGAGTTGTCTGAAGAAGAAGATATCATGATGGTGTCAGAAGAAACCAAAAAGAAGAACAGAAAAAATGGTGGCAAGGCAGCGGGAGTGATGTCGCGAAGTCGAGATCAAACTCAAGGAGCTGCTGGATCATCTTCAAGGCCGATGACATCATCGACCCCTGAGCAGGGTCCTTCTACATCACGACCTTGCTCTATGTCCATGAGTTTAAGGCAACGGTCGGGCACCGCTGAGCGAGCAGCGAGCGCTGCGGCTTCTTCGGCAGCTGGCGCGGCAGCCTCACCTGCGGCTTGTGCGGCGGCTTCATTAGCAGCTGCGTCTTCGGCGCTGAGCGATGCTGCTGTGGTGATGGAAGCTTCAGCTGCTGCGGCTGAGCGTAGAGGCGCTGACGGAGTCAGCAAAGACATAGTGAATCCATGGAACCGTTTCCAACATGAGAACCGGCGAAAGGGCTGGTCACCATCTGTAATGGCTGAGATGTACCGAATCAGCCATAAGACAGGCAACACAAAGCCTTGAGCCTGCAACTTTTGAGTTTGCCGAATTGGCAAAGGGGGAGTCTGAAAGGGACTTCAAATGTAGTATCTGTTCTTATCAGTGCGATCATTGATTAGGCAGTGCATTTACCGATGTATCCTGAGGCTTTTTGTGTCAAGGAAAATAGTGGCGTGTGACCTCAAGAGCCTGTAATTGTATAGTCAGGGATACCCTTATGACTCACCACCATTTATTGTTGGCCACGGGCCACGGCAGTGAGGCCTCTCGCCTTCCCAAAGCCTTGGGCGTTCGCGTTTGGAACCGCGCCATTCCGCAGCTGGAGGCGGGTGGAAACTGCCATCAACTAGCAGCGCATTTGGGGTTTATAGTTACCACCTATTTATTATGTATAGTTACATAGTGATAGGAATTTACGGTGATTTTGGGGAATTGATTATATTTTGTTACATAGTGATGGGAAATTACGGTGGTTTTGGGAATTCATTATTGGTGTTACCACATCAAACATGTGTTTTAAAGGCTTGAAATAGAAAGATGATGAAAGAGGACCTACTGTACTGTATTTGTCAATGGGGTTTTGTTTTGTTTGAAGATAATGTTGTACTGCCATTTGTGTTTGAGATGATACAGGCACTTGCTGTAGCTGTTTGTGGACACCACCCAAGGCTCAGGATGACTCATTGATCGAAGACCATCACCGGGTAAAGATTGGATATGATAAGATGGGTTGGGTACCATAGATTGCTATAGTAGAATTGGATTTTTTGAAAAACAAATGGGGCAAAATATGTATATAATTGTATATACATACTGGCCAACTATTTTTCTGTGCCACGATCTTCTCAGGGACCGACTGGTCCCTTGCAAAGATCTGGGGCATTTTGTCACCAACTCCCAGCTGAAAAAAAACATGGGATGGGTAGATTGCAGCTATTTCATTTGTTACAAATGATTATGATCTATAATACATGTGTTAGGTAGATATTGATTATCTATGGGTAGTACGATAATTCATTCCATGTGTTACACATGGGAATAAATGATAATGATCTATACTATATAACCAGCTCCATAAAGCAAACATTGGCGATGAAAAGGATGCCCTCTATTAATATTCTGGTCATCAAACGTGGCAGCCGTGGCAATCATAGGAAATCCCTGAACTAAATGGAGATTTGTATGGACAACTCCTATCAATGGAGGATTCTTCTACCAAAAAAAGACATTTACCCTTTGGTTATTTACCATAGCCATGGTATAGATGGCCTATTTATAGATGGTTTACCGTTCTTAAAAATGGGTGGATTTTCCATGGCAAACTGTCAGTCATGACCAGAAACCAAGCGCCTCCCTTGGATCAGGTGGGTCATCAGAAACGCTTGGACACTGTGAAGGAAAGCCTGAGCGAGGAAGGTGTGAAAGGCCGATTGCTGTGGAATCCTGGGATTGGAACATGGCTTTGGTACCTGAACATTGGGGATGTAACCTGCAATTTATGGCAAGCCAAATGGGATAACTATGAGGTTCTGAAGCATCCATTTTTCCGGGTAATTACCATCCAGTAAACTTGTTTGGGCTATCAACCGGATTTGACAAGACATCAAATGAAGTCGTGGTGAAAGAAATAGGTTGGCATGGCCACACAAGGATAAGGAACATGGTAACGTTCGTGGAGGAAATCTGTTGGGGACCATTTTTTTTGGATGCTCTGTGCGTTGGTTCAACGATCCAGCTGGCTGGAAGATGGGTTCCAATATTGTGGTGAGCTGATGTGGGCTGCCTGTTTTCGAAGGGTATTTTGGCAAGGGGGAAGGGTTGACGCCAGGTGTGTACTTGGCCGGGAACTACGTGGGCGGAGTTGCCCTTGGCAGATGTCAGCCAGTGGGAAAAGGGTACATCTGTGATGAAAATTGTCATATATTCTCCCTACTTGGAAGTGCAGTTCCGGTTGCAAGTGGAATAGATTTTATTATATATAGCTATATGGGTTATATCCCTACTTTGCGGGTGTATAACCGTAGTTTTGCCCATTAATAACCCCAACTGCACCTCCAAGTATGTAATGTATTTGGATTCGGATGTATAAAACTGTGATGCGTGGATCGTATATCATTTTTTGTTTGGAATTTATAGCACGTGATAAAATGATTAATTAAAATTCAAAGTTCATGGAAAAAAACGTGTTGCAGGGATACTTACTGCGGCTGGTTAAATGGGGATGATATGGCTACATTACAGGAACCACATTGGCTGACCTCACTGCGAATCATCCAAACATGACACTCAGCTTTGGGAAGTATGCTAGTTCAGCAAAAATGATGGCACATGTTGTACCAAAGTGTATCAGTGGTGAAGTATACAACGTACCCCGCTTGCAGTTCTCATGGGTTGAAGTTGTGCTCACAGATGATTCCTGCATGTGGTGTTAACTTGCAACCCAAAACTTATGTATAGTTTTGTGGTACCCCAGCCTTTCTCAGCCTTCCTCGAGATCTCTCCAGCAAAGTCACGCCAACCGGTACTTGTTGATATCCCGTATCACAATATATTACAAGGTTTGTGAAATTTTGTGAGGGGGCAAGATTATGAAAGGATATGAAAGGTATTTCGGAAGAGTGGGTCCCCAATGTCGGTCATGGATGCGTGGTGGTTTCAATCATGATTTGCCCCCACCCAATGCCGTAGCAATGATGAATAATTGCTAATAACGGATTCTTATCCAAATTACGGAGTACAAGGTTTTGGACCGTGAGTTCAATTGACAGTTGACATTGGTTGACTGGCAATTTTCCAGAATTACCCTCTGGTAAACTAACATAACTATGGAAAATCACAATTTTTCATGGGGGTGGCGATCTCCTATGATCAATTGCAGCCATCCATTCCCGGTCCAGGCGTCGAATTTGGCCTTGAGGTTGCCCAAGAGGCCGGCAGCCCTCAGAGAATAAGTTGGTTTATCAGTATCAGTTATTATTACCCTCTGGTTATTTAATATAGCCATGGAAAATCATCATTAATAGGTAAACATAGGTATAGCTATGTCAAATAACCAAAGGGTAGTATTTATTAACTGCTATTTAAAGTTAATAAATTGGTCTATCTATAGTTGTCATTATACATTTACCACTTTGTATTTCAGGGGGCCCACCGGGCCCACCTTGTACACTTGGGGTGATCCCGAGTGACAGCCACAACTATCGTCACATGGGGGTGGAATAGCCCAAGATTTGATCTGTAGATGGTTGATTCTCTCATAGTCTCAGAAAAAAGAAAGTAGGGTCATGTGTGTCTCGTGGTGAAAATTCCAAAACTGTCAGGCTGCAATGTTTGGTGATTATAGTGATGTGCTTCTGTTCATTTGATTCTCAGGACTTACCGGGTTGCTACAGTGCTTGAAGAGCAAACATAATACCAAAACGATGCAGGTGTGGGCAGCCCCGCAGCCTTCCAAAACATACAGCCATTTTATGTGTTCAGTGTTCAGGTTTCCTGGCAGCAGCCTTCAACACCATTGCTGTGAGTGTGAGGAGTGTAAGGGAGGGGTTCACTGGCTTCAGACTTCGGACTACATTTTGTTTGAGGCCGTTCGTTTTAGAACCCAGATGAACGGATGAACCCAGTATTAAGTCATAGACTCATAGATATCAATGTCACAGTGTGATCGCAAGCCATGCATTTTCCGGCTCAAGGCTGGCAAGGTGGCAAGATCCCGTCGAACAGCCCAAGGCAAACAAGACTAATTAGCCTGTACTTAATTTAAGATGGACATGGAATATGGTGATTTTTGTGCCGTGATGTTGTCTCAATGACATCGATGGCATGGCGCTGGGCCGTTGCCCTGGCACTTCTCAGTCGGGTCGCGCTGGGGATCCAGGTGATCGTTGCAGGGCTGGGGCGCACGGGGACCATGAGCATGTTGACGGCTCTCCAAACACTGGGTACCCTGGCCAATAAAGAACAAATGGTCAAACCAGCCAGTTTCCGGCGACGATTTCCCAACAAACGCAACCCTCAACATGTATAATCCAAATCCACCAATGAAACCTGATTCAATCCTCTTGCATTCTCAATTAAATATATTTGAATCAACACCACTTCCAGGTTACAAGCCCTACCACCTGAAGAACGTCATGCTGAACGCCTCCCACGCCTCAGCCTGGCGTCAAGTGGCGGAGGGTCAGCTGGACCAGGTGGAGATCATTCGGATGATCCACCAGGAACTGGGTCCGGTGACCGGTGTAACAAACCCACCGGGAATGATGGTTTCACCTTCGAAAAAGTGGAGATTTTCTGGCTATACCTTAGCAAACATGGGGATTTAATATGATTTAACATGATTTAAGCATCTAACCTCAACAAAAATGGGATATATTTTGATATGAGATGTGAAATGAATTGAAATGATGTGAAACATGGTGATTTAAGCAAGACATATTAGCCAGAAATGGTGCCTTCACATGAGGGAAAGGGTGAAACGATATGAAATGGGAGGTGGATCAGCAAAAACATCAGAAAAGTGCGTGAGAAGCATATTTAAGCACGAAATACATCGAAACATCATGAACTGAATGGAGGGAGCAATGGAGAGATGTTGATATTTCTGTACGTAGACTCTCCAAGCACCCATTAAAAAATGGTACACGTAGAAAAACAACATGGAGTACGTATTTTTGGTACTTTGAGCGTCTAGGTGCATTCCTCGCTAAAAAAATGGTACACAAGGGAGACATGATAGATGAAGTATAGCTGGAATATTAGTTTTGTAGGTATCATGTGTCATGATGTTTATTTGATCTTAAAAGGATCTTAAAGGGGTCTTCAGCCCTCTTTAACTCACAAAATTTGGATTGGGCTTAATCTGACAAAATGGATCTAAAGCCACCCAAATTTGAAACCGCACAAATAATCATCAATTGAGATTGAACCCTTTAAACTTGGGCAACCAAAAAAGCCAACAACAATAGGCCCTAGGCTTTATATCTTTCTATATAACCTGTCATTTCCCCAGGGATTTCTATATATTGCCCTTGGGTTTGTCATGACTTACTGGAGCAAGTCCCTGAAAGTCACCTGCGAGGAGGGCTTCGATGCGACCATGGACAACCCCATGTGCGAGCTCTTTGAGCTACTGGGACATGGGACAGATTGATTTCTTGGGTGTGGATATCGGGAATTGAATCATTTAGTTGCTGTTTCCCAACATATTGGAGAAGAACGGAGGCACGATAGGACATAACTAACATTAAGTAATCGGAGGTGGTAGCTGGTTTCCCGTTTATCCAACAAATATATGTGGAATTATGTGGATATATGATATTTCATGGGGAAAACATGGTGGCCCCGATGAAGATATACTGTATACATACACATATATGATATATGTATATATATATACATATATAACCTCCGGTAAACTAACATAGCTATTGAAAACTGCCGTTTATAGTTGATTTACCCATTAAAAATGGTGATTTTCCAGTTCGCAAACTGTTACTTTACCAGAGGGTATATGTAGTGAAAATGATCATCAAACCATTGGATCTTGGGGTAATCATATTTTCTGACAAATATTCTATATGAATTGGATATGGTGACCATGGAACAATCCTGGAATTGACAAAAGGTTGACAGAAGGGAACATATACAGGAAAACCCTTGTGTATGATAGTGGGAAGTAGGGAGTTCCTTGCAATATTTCAATGGAAATAAATCCATTGGGAAAAGAGTGTGTATATATGTACATATACGCTCACAACAATCAGTATATATATATATATACATATAGACTGTTTGTGTGGATATACATATACATCCCTAAAAGAAATCCTGGCAAGTTGGCTTATGACCACCTTACAATTCCCATCAATTCCCCGCAAAAGACATCGCCTTGCCCAGGTTGCAGATGCAGCTCTTCCCCGAAGCGAAAGTGATCCTAACGAGCCACCCCCGTGGAGCAGCTGGCTGGGCCAAGAGTTTCCTTCAGCTCATGAAGGTGGTGCAACTGCAAACGGCGAATTTTTCGATGACGCCCGGGTAGTTTTAAGGGAACAAACATGGAGATTTGATAGGGGTTTAATGGGATTTAGCGGGATTTAGCGGGATTTAATTGGATTTCGTGGGTTTGGATAGGGGTTCAACGGTAATATTTTATATAATGGGATTTCATGGGATTTGATAGGGATTCAATTGCAGTTTTGATGGGATTTAATGATAAATATATATATATATATACAACATGATATAACTAAGCGAATCTAACCAACAACAAGACTTGACGTACGTCCCATGCAAAAAAAAATACATAGCTATGGAAGATGAACCATGAAATTCCATGATTTGCCTTGTCAGAACGGTGGGTTTCCATAGCTATGTTAGATTACCAGAGGGTACCCTCAAACATGGGAGTTTCATGGGGATTATATATTTTGGATGTATGATAGAAGCAAAACACATGGGGGCATTGACTAAACACACGCACACATATATATATATATATATATATATGCACATACATATATGCACACTATAAATAGACTATAAATATACCGCTCGAAGTTGACATAGTAGATAACCTATAATATACTTGATACAATTACACACTATGAATATATACAGACATATAAATATATATATATATATATAGATAGTATAGCATTCCCAGAACTAACAGTTTGAACATGAGAATAGCATTGTGTTAGAGGAACAATTTGTCTTCCAAACCCCCACCTCACGGGAAGGTCAGTTGGATGACACATTTCCCAAAGAAAACGAGCGGCGGGGAGTGGGGATGGTTGTTCGTAGGAAAAAACTAGCAGGCAGGCATTGCAATTGCAGGTGGTGCGCAACCATGGTTTCAATATTTCAATATATGAAATTTTTATAAACTTGTCACAGATCCTCCCAGTCCCAAGCTCCTATTTGATTGAGCTTATACAGTCAGTACAGTCCTGGCGATTTCTATCGATTGGTTGACGGCGCACCTAGTTGGTTCCCCTTCCATTTGGGTTTCATTTCCGGAGCCAAGGACCTATCCAAACATCCTGCAGTTCGTGCCGGTGCTGCGAGATTTGACCGCCATGCGCTGCTTGATGGGCCGGGCAACAATGGGACTGCGGCCCTGTGAATTGATTTATGAAAGCATCGACAAACAACGTGTATCACCAGGCTGGCTGGAGGAACAGTACGAAAAACACAATGCTTATGTGCGGGCCAAAGTGCCTAAGGAAGCTGGGCTGGAAGATCGATGAAGCTCCTTTATTTTACTGGATGGGAATGTATTCCACAATGTTCCACAAAATCCGTGCCACACTCTATGACATAGCCTAAGTCATGTGGCAGGGCGGAGGCCTCAATAAACAGCCTAGAGTTCCTGAATTTTGTCGCCCCAGGAAAAGCTTCTGGAGTTCAGCGTGCAGGACGGCTGGGTGCCCCTTTGCGACTTCCTAGGTGTCCCTGTGCCAAGCGGGGCTTTTCCCCACGTGAACGACAGTGCCTCCATGCGACGTCTCGGCATGATCCTGCAGCTCATCGTCTACGGCTGGGCTCCCACAGTGCTGTTGGTGATGCTGTTGATGTGGCGGTGCTGCGGTTTGACGAGGGAGAAGAAGGATTGAGTCGTTTCAGATCGTTTCAGGACCAAATGGTGTGCCTTTCCGGGTGTACCTCCAAAATTTGCAAAACGTCTTGGGCACGCAAGAACTGCAGATGCCTCTTTAAAACCTTTTTTGGTGGACTTTGGGACCTTTTGCAACGTGACGACTAGTTAGTTCTACATGATAATTACATAGGTCCATCAAAAGGTAGGAGGCATCCGCTCCAACAGACCGCATACTTGCGGAATTTGATAGAATTTTGGATGCTAGCTAATTATGTTGGGTGCCACCTGTTGCGTTGAATAAATCATTGTCCCATATTGTCCCCATGTATCCTGATTATCACTACTTTCCACTACTTTCTCTGGCTTACTTCATTCCCACCCAGTCTGAGTCTAACATTTCTGGAGCATTTTTGGAGCCACGGTTCTGCCAGTGGAGAAGGTGCATGCCAAACTTGGGGTACGGTTCCACTTCTATAAGAGGTGCCAGATATATGCCCAATATCCAAAAATAGCATTATGGACGGAAGATAATATATCGAGAGAGGCATCCCAACCTCAGGGGAGTACACTCCCTTTTTTTATTTAACAATGTTACATGGAACAAAAAAATCTGAGAGAAACAGTAAGAACATGATTTTCCAGGCCCAATGTTTGGGGTATCAACTCGCTATCTTCACACTTGCCACAGGTTGTGGAGTTTGTGAAGGAGGCAAAGGTCACCCAGCCAGCGCACCTTGGATGCGAAAGGGGCAGGTTGGTGCATGACAAAGCTGAGATGCCGTGATACCCATCAAGTAGGGGCATGATTCGGGATATCAATGATCACTACAGAAATTTATAGCAACACCTTTTTCAAGATACTTGCACGCCTGGATTTGTTGGGAAAAACATCATCTACAACATCCTGGAAACCAGTTTCAGCATCTTTTTGAAGATCCCTTTCAAAATTTTCAAACGATTCAAAATGGTGGCTGATATATTGATTTGGTGCTCAACCTGAAAGCCACCACAACTTGAAGTGGCCACAGCCTGGTGGCCACAGAGGGGAGCCAAGCGACTGCTACCTGTACCATCCTGTACCTCATGCGGATCCTGAACCCAGCATTTCTAGATGATTTCCCTAGGGAAACGGCCCGGAAATGATGACCCCAATGGGGTAGTAATCGGCTTGACCCAGCATTGACCCACTATGGTGTTATCCAGTGTTATCCAGTGGTCCAGTTTTGGGGGCACTTTTAGCCATACCCAGCATGAAATATAAGCAATTATATATTTGCAACCAATGAGCAGTTAGACTCAGAAGCAGATTCAAAACCAGTGGGTCCTCCCAGTTTTCAGCCATTCCCCGGCCAGGCTCAGCATTCGAATTGGGATCAGTAATCAAACATGGAAAAGGACGATCCCAATGTTTCATGGGACAACCAAGTTAATCTCCTGTAAACTAAATATGGAAAACCCAGCATTTGTAGATCATTTTCCTCGGGAAACCATAGGTTTTCCGCATTTGTGTCAGTTTACTATAGGGTAAAACAGATATGTTAAACGTGCTGGACGTTCCCTTGATTCCTAGATTGCATGGCATCCCATGGCGATGAATCCGTTGGTCCTTTCACAGGTAATTGGCGCCGGACTGGAAAAAGTGAGCACATTTTTTTCAGCACCTGTGGCATGGTGCTTGATACCCAGCAGATCTCCATCGCCATGTGGGTTTTAGCAGGTTCCCAATAGATCCAATAGGGGGAAACCACACTTCACTGGTGACCCCAAAATAGCTGGTAAGGAGTTGGTCTATAGTTGTTCGTTTTATTTCATTTCCAAAGATGGTAAAGATGGTCCAACTTTGGTAGCTCATCACCGTCACCGCCATCACTTGATTGACATGCTGCTTGTTTGGGTATCACGGCACCTTTTAAGAAAAACAAAGATCTTGGACCAGCACGGCAGCGAGACGAGAAACATCGAGAAAGCTGGGCACGCTGGAGGGGTAGGAATGAGGGCTAGAGATGGCGGCCGAAAAAACGCTGTTGACAACTAGAATAGATTGGAAAAGTCATCGAAATCCTAGGAACATGACCAACAAATGCTGGATTGTCGATGATTTTCCATGGTTTTTCATATCTATGTTAGCTTATCAGGAGTGTACCACCCATTTGGTGGTAGGTTTAATGTGATTTAAACTTACCGAGTCTGGCCATAGATATTGGGGAGCTAAGAAGCTATGGATTGTTAATGTTCTTACCAAATCGGGGGCCAAAGGGCCTAGTTACCCCTAAAGTTTAAGGATCAATGGGATGGTTTGAGAGACATTGGCCTAGATGATCAGAACCGGAAGGTTAGGTGTTTGATGACACTGTTTGCTTTTTACCTTACAAAAGTATACAAAAGTCGGGCTTCAACCAACACAAAATCAGATTTCGAACTGACTGGCCGACCTCAGCATTTGTAACGATGCTTTATCTGTCAGGAATCATCATCGACGAAATGGAACTGACATGATTTTTCAAGAAATATGAGAGCCCAGGTGACCAGGTGGGTCACTTCATATCATTTCATATAATTTCTTATAGTTTATATAATATAGTATATGGCATATCTATCAGCAGCTTATTTAGCATCCCCCCAACGAAGAAGAAACTCTTCCAGCATTCAACTCATTGCTGACTGTCCCGCCATACACCGCCATTTTCTGCGCATCAAACAGCAGGAACAGCCATACATCAAGACACGCAAAAAGGCCGAAAACATCTGAACAATTATGAAGTACACTCTTCAGAGAAGATCTAAAAGGATCTAAAAGGCTTGTTCCTACGTTGTGCAAAGACAAGACATTGGATGACCTATCAGCAGCCTGATCGTGCACCGAAGACGACAGCAAATTGCATCAGTGGAGACCAGCAGAACATGAAACCTAGAAACTTCATAGTTATTCAGTTTCTATTGCGATAGATCCATCTATTATCCCATATATCCACTATATAAATATATATATATATATATTTAATACATATAGATCTCCGTTAGATTTTATTTAACTCACCATTTTGGCAGCGGTTCCCACCGTGACTGGGGGTATGTGATGCCGGTGTGGACCGACATCAAGGTGCCCACCTTCAACGAGCACCTCGGCGTGTCACATATATTTGTGGTACACGAAGTGGCATCGAACAAGTTAGGATACTGTCGTTTACATATATCTGACAAACTTGTTAATCTATTATACTGGCAGTAACAAGTTACAAACTATTTTGTATAGTTTATGATGTTAGTATAATATGTATCACTGTATATTTTTCAGTCACAGTATGAGTCGTATGATTCTTTACTTTTTTCAGCTCCAAGTCTACGCGCGATCGTTTCTCCATGATTTTTTTCCCATGGCCATGAAATCATAGGGAACATGATGCGATTGTTTCTTTTTGACGCACAAATCCTTGTGTTTTGCACGTTCCATTGTTTCATCCTCGGCAAGTTTCAAGGAGGAAACGGTGTTTGAGGGTTCGAGTCGTTCGAGTCTAGTTGCTGGGGCTTTATCCACACTTTGTGCGACATCTCAGATCTTGTTTGTTTCTGAGGGAAAGAGATATCCCAAAATTGCAATGTTGGGGTGTTGACTCTTGTGGGCATCTCGGTACCCGTATCAGTATGTTAGTTTGGACTCATAAACTCGGAACTCGGAAAACACGAGTAAGTGCCCTGAGGCAACGAGAAGGTTTTTTGCCTGCTGCTGCCAACGTCTATGGGGAGGTGCGTGAACGGGTGGTCATCTCGGGGCGTGTGGCAACAAGATGCTCCAATGGCAACAGCAAAATGTTGTAAAATATTGTAAAATGTACATGACGAATGCACAGTTCAAGACTTTGAAAACGTTGCAAAATGAGGCAAAATCCCTGAAAATCATTTGATGGAGGATTTCGACATATTTCGACATATTTCGACTATAAAAAGGGACACTTTTGATCACACACCTTGTCGCTGGATATGGACGGGAAGGTTGGAGCCATGGGAAATCCTGCTGGACGCTGGACGGACCATGCTGTGGTTTTTGCAGCACATGTTGCCACGGCCGTGACTGCAGACAGATCATTTGCGCACAATCTATATATATATATAACTATAAACATATTTAAATATATATATATATATACAGTGTGTGAAGATATCCGACTTCAAAGGTACAGCAGCATACAACGGCGACTGAGCCTACTCCAAATACCCATAAAAATGTTATTTTACACCACAAGAATATTACTTTTACCTATTTGAATGTGTACTTGGATAGTGTATTTCTAGTTCATCTATGCAAATCGAAATCGATCCTAAATCGATCCCCACTGATTTTTTGCACCAGCTGGGGTAGTTTATTTCTGGTTGATGGTTTGAAGGTTGTTTACCTCCCATCCCGGTGAAGATTAAGACCTCATTCGACCAACAGCCATCTTTGGGTTTGCTGAAGATGATGAGACATCCACTACCACTGGGGAATCTATAGGGAATATATATATATATATTATAATAATTATTATTATTAGCCCCTGACCACGACCCCCCCCAACGGACCTTCATGCAGCAAAGAGGGGCAGGGAAAAACAGAAAAACAAATATATATGGTTTGTTTTTGGGGGTCCGGATCAGCAAATCTAAGGATAGTCAACAATGTCTTGTTGATACATGGGACCATCAGGGAAGCCTTGAATCTGGGGATGCGGCCATGTCACCTTTAACAACAACCCCCCTACTTTCTTGTGCTCGAATCCTAGCAATTTTGTTGAATTCCCAATGGTTGAATTATGTTGAATTACTTTCACAATCCACTTGACTTGGGTAAAAATCCACAATTTGCCAAGGTGTTTTTCTCAATTTGGGATGGATCAACAACTAAAAATTGCTGTAGAAAAAAAATTGCCTTCCAGCGGTTTGCCAGCCATGGGTTCCCAATGGGTTTCCCCTTGGGTTTTGACCCACTTCGCCATGTCATTTCCATCCGCCGAGGTGTTCAGTGCCAAGGCGTACTTCGACCCCCCGCGACGCCCGCCCCTCTTGCAGCGGGCCCTCTTCCCCAGCGACGCCGCCGATGGAGACGGGGAAGACGGTGGTTGAATGGGATTATAGCGGTCATCCAAAACAAAAAGTAGATTCCTACTGAAATGGGGCGAGGGTCGTTTGTGTGATTCCTTTCTATTTTTGTTCCTACCTTTTCGGAGAGTATTACTGTATAGTTATGAAGCTATATGACAAGACATCATCACCAAACTGTCTGTTTTTGATTTGTTTTTGTTTTATGTAAATTTTATGTTGTTTGACATTTGTTCATACTGTTTCTACACGGGATTATTTTCAAAATTAACTCAGGCACATGTTTATGACAACGAGATCACGGGATAACCACTAATTAACCAGCATTGATGGAGAAGAAAGACTTAAGGAAGTGGATGGTGCGTTGGTTGATGAGCATGGTACAACCCCGGAAAGCATGTGTAGACAAACAGCAGCCTTAGTCCATGTGACATGTATATAAATGTTGTGGCCACTTGCCCAGCATGTCTCAAGTTTAAGGTTCTTACTGTGGATGGTTGCGAAATCCTGAACCAGTTGGTAACTGTTGATAACTATAAAACACTGTAAATATTGGAATTATAATTATAATGAGTTAAAGCATCTACCAACTGGGGCAGGATTTCTTCCACCCACAGTTTATTGAGTGCATTTGAGACAGGTCAAAGTGAGCGAGATACATGAAATTCAATCAAGTGCAAAGGCAAGCAAACATCGGAATTTCTTGTCAATGATCATCATGGGGTACATCACAAGATTGGTATGGCAAAAAACCGGGGATGGATTCATCAATGGGTTGGTTTACGGGAAAATCTACACCGGAAACCATGTTTTTTTTGGTTCTCCTCAAAGTATCAAATAAAAAAAAGGACGTCTCCTGATTTTAATATCATCCAGCTACTGCTCATTTGTGCTGGAGCAGTACAATACAATACACGGTTCAAGCAAGCCTCCAATGGTCGTTGTTTGCCTTTGTACCTTTGCGAATGCTTTTTTTGAATCAAACAGCATCGAAAAGAAAGCTAGCTAGCTACTTGTGGGTAATTCTCACTCATCTAAGAATCTAGCTGAGTTATGAGTTATGAGTTATGATAGAGTTCACATCATCTTCATGCCATCTTGTGGCCCCAAGATTTGGACGGCAGGAGCAGCCTCGGATAGCGATGATGAGCGGATGTCAACCATGGCTCAGGCGAGAGCGATTGGTGACTGTGCTTTTGCCGAGCTAGGCTTCCAAGAAAGTTGTTTTTTAGTAGCCACATGGCAGCATGCAAATTTACATATAGAGAGATGCTGATAGTGATGGATACAGATAGACCTATTGAAATCATCTAGATACAGTATACTTAGATAGTTAGATATGATGCTCCCAAGAAGTTTTTTAAGAATACAAACATTACATGTTCCCTGCCGTTGCCGTTGCGCCTCAGGACTTTCTGAAGGCGGTGGAGCGACAAGACCTCCACTGTGCCGAGTTATGTGTGGCTTCCTGTGATTTTGCTATGCCGGGAAAAGCCTCTTTTTTGGAGGCATTCACAGAAGTTTCTCCCACCCAAAACATCCCAAAACCATGGGAGAGATTACCAGCCTCATGATCATTCATGATCAATACAAAGCATCAAGTCGTCTTCTCGCATGATGTGTGACTACTTTTTGCTGGCTTCGGGTAGGGTCTATACCTGGGGACGATGGAGATTCCTTAGGGCGAGCATTTTCTGGCCCGGGGTTTTTGCTGAACCACCAACTAGTTACGTGGGAAGTTTATAGCTACACACCATGGTTTAATGCGATGAAAATGGCAACAAGGAGTCATGAATTGAGTCTGAAAATGGGGAATATGCCGAAAATCCAAAAACATGCCATCTTAGTCAAACAAGCTCATAAACATGCTTAAAATAGGTGATAGGTTTTTTTCTTTTCCGGTATGCCACGGTATACCCTCTGGTAATTTAACATAGCTATTGAAAATGGCCCATAGAAATAGTTACAGTAATTTACCTATTAAATCTATTAAAGATGGTGATGTTCATTGATTTTCCATAGCAAACTGTTAGTTTACGAGAGGGTACATGCTATTTCCATATTCCCATCATTTTCCCATGGATTTTCCCATGATTTTCCCATGGATCACGGATCCTCCCCATGTGTTCTTTCCCCAAAAAACCACCTGACCCGTTGAAGCTCCGCGTGAGGTTTCGAGGGCCTGAGTCGTAGCGGGCGGGACCACCTGCAGAGGAGCCGATGCCGAGGGCGAATCCTCCGGGCCCTGGCAGAACATCATAAGAATGTTTTATGATTATATCTTATTTGTAGATATCGATAATAGCTATATATATATAACATGTATATGCATATCACTATATAAAATCTATGTGTGTAATGATATGTGTATACATATGCATATATATATACATTATAATGTTTATTTAAGGGTAACGATGTTCTCAGATGTGACCCCAAGATGAGCTTTGCTCGATCACATTAACCTTGGGATCATCAAGATTCGCCGAGCTCAGGGCATCGGGGCGATCCGGGACAAATGTGGGATTCACCCAAGAGTGGGATAGTCGTAGGAGATTTTTGTTGGGAGATCTGGATTGAGAATGATTGAGATAGGGTAATCGTGGGATAATCGTGGGATAATGATAACGAAATTGGGCTAACCATGCCATAGCATGCCAGAGGTTGAAATTGGGCGTGGTCTGACTGGGCTTCATGGGATGGTGACTTTGGCATGACTATGGAGGACGTCACCTTGGCGGCCTCCCCTGACAATCTTCAACTAAACTTTGCAATAGAAGTTTGTTTGGGCTATCCCAACTATAAGTTCAACTAGCCCTAAGAGACGCCAACTATAAGTATTCTATATATAATCATATATAATCCGATATAGTGACTATTTATCCACCTATTTCGTATGATTCCAAGATTTCGCGGCCGTTAACGGCCTCGGTTTCGCATCGACTGCCAGGATCATCTCAGTGACAGATGGGGTCGGAAGCTGAGTTTGGGGTGAAACAGTGACTTACTGGTGCTTAACGCAGGGAATTTTCGGGAATGATCCCAGTCATCACTAGTAATAATATGTAAGAATCATCCCAGCAATCCCCATTCCTATCCATTCCCAAGCACCGATAAGGTGAAACATTGTTAACTATCGGGATAACTGGGCCGTAACATGATGTACTTGTAAGATAGACATAGACGGGGATGAAATTTTGAAATCCGGTAAATGAGAAAACTATGCCAGAACATGGGAAACGTAGAAACCAGAAAGGACTGTTTATTCGGGGGTTGTGCTACTTTTGGTTGGCATGTCGCCGTTGTCTGTTCAATATCGAAGTGATGCCACTTGGCTAAATGGAGATTGATCTTTCGCTGCTTGTTTCATGGGTTCCCGTATTGAATTTCTTCATGATCAGGATGGAACCGGCTCCTAGAACTTGAGCCATTGGATCATCCATAAATCATCAAATTTCTGGTTAAAATCCTCATATTTCTCGATGATTTCTCGATGATTCGGATTGTTCGGCAAATTTCATCGTTTGTTTACTGGTAAACCACCACCAGGATCCGCCAAGTTTTGTTCAGTGCTGGGGTATTGATCCACCAGAATCTGTTGAAGAGTGATCAAATGTCAGGTTTTTATTATGTCTGTTAAGTCTGTTATAGATTGTTATAGCACAACATTTTCTCACACAATACACTGTTTGTGTCCGTCAACAAAATCATTTGTTTCAGAGAAATCCATGGTGTGCACGGTGGTGTTTTGATGTGTTTTATAATTAGTTGACCCATTTTCAGCTGATCTTTGAACGAAAAATACGCTGCCTGAGGATGGAAACACGGCCCTTCACCGCTGTGTGACGGCGCTATGCGGTGCGACTTCGCCCCGCTTTCACCAGCTGAAGTTACATTGGAATTAGCTATGAAATATATTGGAAATATGGGATTTGATGGGTAATTATACGGTACATTGACGTTGTATGTAACCAGTAGAATTGGTTTGGTGGATTTGGGTTTCTGAAAAACTGGGAGGAACTTTTCGTGGGGAAATCCGGTGGTTGATCCTCACTTACCTCATTTAACTTGTCATGTTGGGGGGTAGACTCCAGCATCAGACACACCCTAATGGAGGTTCAAACAAAGAGACCAGGAGATGTCACCAACATTGGACACATTAAGTAGGATAAAACCATATATAAACCATAAATAAAGGTGTACTGATTGTACTGTTTCCCAAATGCTGGAAGTTGGTCCAACGACTAACGACTTCCTTAACTTTCAGGTGAGCCCAATCGGACGTGGTTTTTGTTTCAAGACGTGATGTTCGTTTCAGGACGTGGGCCGCAATTGCAGGATGTTTGAAGGCATGTTTTCAGATCCAAGTGAACCCTTTTCCCATGGATTGATTCTAGGTGTGCAACTGACAAACTTCGCCTCGGCCTTGCTGAGGGGTGTGCAAAACCTTCATTACCGATAGGGGACGGCCCTATACCGATACATCTGTTTTGCATGAGTTGACTCGAAGTCTAAGAACGCAGAAATCTTCACTATCGATAGGGAGCGACCCTAATTTGTGCATGGCATGCAAATGAACCAGTCCGCTAATTATTCATATGTACGTAGTGTAGTCTTATAGAATAATATATGTTACTATACTCAGATTATTTCGCACAATTCTACTGGCCCATCAAATGTTACTGATTGCGTTCCCATGTTTTTTCAAAAAGAGTCTAAGATTCCCATTTCCATATATGGTCGGGCTGAATTGTAACAACGTCACTTTGACGTCACTTTGACGTCGCTGAAATGATGGTTAGTAAGTAAGGGGAATCATCCCCAAAATTTCCCAAAATTACATAAAATCACTTTATTTTAGATTTTAGATTGGTGAAATGAACCATGATTCAGCCATGTCCATGGTTCCTTGTTGTTCCATGTTTGTTGTCACAACATGTCAGGACTGTCTCCCTTTAAACTGCCGCATCCTTTGCCGTTCCTCCAGCTGGGCCCAGGGACGCGGGGCGTCCCAGGGCCGGGGAGCCCGACCTTGCCATGGTGAGACGGTGAGTCGACATCATGGTGTCCTGGCGAAGGTGCAAGTTCCTTTTGACATTTGACCTGTAACACATTAAGTCATAATATATATATATATAGCATCATAATAAATATATATACATACTAATGTTAATAATCATAGATCTAATAATAATAATCAAATTAGATACATATGCATTGAGTTACCCATATTCAGTTATATCATATTGGGAGAGATGATCTACAGATCATATCTTTCAGACCCAATGATCTTTAGATACTATGGGATACCCGTCGTGTTCAGTTTGTGTGGGTTAGTAGGCCTCACAATACCTTACCCTCTGGTAAACTAACATAGCTATGGAAAATCACCATCTTTAAGTTCGGCATATAAATCAACTATAAATGGGGGGGTAAACATACCACAAAACTATGGACAATCATTCAGTTCGGTAAATCAACTATTTCTATGGGCCATGTTTAATAGCAAACTGTAACAAATTACCAGACTATGGGCCATTTTCAATAGCAAACTGTTAGTCATTACCAGAGGGTACATTTGATTGAAGGTTTAATACATTTGTTATGATCATCGTCAACAGCTCAACTGAAAACTTTGCAGAAGTTGCTTCCTGAGGGGCTTTTTACCCCAATTTCTCCAACATCCAGGAGACCCACACCCTTCAGTGTAAAGGAAATCAGGATGATGCTGATGATGAGGATGAGGATGACGGTATGCCCCATTTGGTCATGAACAGCCACTCATGGTGTTATTTTGGCTAGAAGAGAGGCCCATTTGGCCCATTTATGATGCAATGCCAAGGTCTTGACAGAGGTTTGGGTCGAGTTGAAGACTGAGACTTGGGGTCTTTAGCGTGGAAAGGTGGTGCAAGCACTTGTGTATAGTGAGACCCGTGGACTTTTCAAGAGGAACACGTGTAATTCATGGTTAAAATTGGGATCATCAGGATCATCATCATCATCATCATCATCATCATCACCATCACCATCACCATCAACATCAACATCATCATCACCATCATCATCATCATCACCATCATCATCATCATCGTCGTCGTCGTCGTCGTCGTCATCGTCATCATCATCATCATCATCCTCCTCGTTCTCGTTGTCGTCGTCGTCGTCGTCGTCGTCGTTTTCATCGTCATCATCATCATCGTCGTCATCATCATCATCATCATCACCATCATCATCATCATCATCGTCAATCATGATCATCATGATCATCATCACCATCATCACCATCATCATCATCATCATCATGATTATGAATCCTCATCATGAATCATCATCACCATCATCACCACCATCATCATCATCATGAATCATCATCGCCATCATCACCATCATCATGAATCATCATCATTCATCATCATGAATCACCACCACCATCATCACCACCATCATATCATCATCATTATCACTATCATCATTATCATCATCTTCACCATCATCACCATCATCATCATCACCATCATCATCATCATCATCATCATCACCATTGTCACCATCATCATCATCATCACCACCATCATCATCAGCATGAATTATCATCACCATCATCACCACCATCATCATCACCACCATCACCATCATCATGAATCATCATCATTCATCATCATTAATCACCACCACCATCATCACCACCATCATCATTATCACCATCATCATTATCATCATCTTCACCATCATCACCATCATCACCATCATCATCACCATCATCGCCACCATCATCATCATCATCATCACCATCATCATCATCATCATCATCACCACCATCATCATCACCACCATCATCATCACCACCACCATCATCATCATCATGAATCATCATGATTTTGGATTTGCTGGGACATAGTATGGAACACTGCTCAAGTGATTGGGGATTCTTTTTGCTGGAACTGCTGGCAGCGAGAGAGATCTGAGAGATCACCAGATTTGCTCCGTAGCCATTCGCCCTGAACTCCCCAAGAGAACAGAATAAATTACGCCTTTAACTGTCAACAGCTCAATCATTGGGTTTATGTGGGCTTCAAAACTCAAACAGGGACTTAAGTTAAACATGTTTCATGTGAGGTGTTTTCTCAAAATGAGAAACATGGAAAACAACAGACCTCACACAAATGAGCACAAACGATTACAAAGCAACTTGGTGCAAGTTGGTGGTTTTTACCCCTCGTTTCCATTTGCACCAGCTCTGGTTCCGGTTGTTTGTTCCAAGGGACTTCCCCAAGGGCCGTAGATTGTCACTGTGGATGCTACCCTCCTCAAGTAAACTAACATCTTCGTTTGATCGAAAAACACCATTTGTCCAGCAAACATATCATTTGAAGACGGTGGATTCAACATCAATTCCGAGTGATAACTGTTATTTGATTTGCCATTAACTATGGAGGGCCAATCATTCAAAACCAAACTTGGATCCATTGAATTGATGGCCATGGGGGGCCCAATGATGGGACCTTCATTTTATGTCATGTCCATTATCTTCCCATTCCTTTGGGGGTTCATTCCCTAGAAATTCCACCACTCGACGTTGCATGGAATTTGCAGCGTCTTAGGATGATAGCCGCGTATATTTTTGGAACCGACGCGACAACTCCAGAGCGCCTTGGATGCCTTGGCCGGAGACTCCAGAGATTTTTCACGATGTTTGCGATGGAAAATAACACAATTTATTGGATGATCTGTGACACACCTATTAAAATGCTGATTTTCCATAGCAAAGTGTGAGTTCTTATTGGAGGGTTAAACGGTTCAAACATGCCACATGGGTTAGATCGCCTGTGCCCAACAATGTTGCCATGTTGCATCTGGCAGGCCTGGACTTTACCGGAAGGTCAAGAGGCCAAATGGATTGGAGAGAAAACTGCAGATGGCCGTACCTACTACTGGAGTCGCAAGAGTTGCTCTGGCAAGACGCTGTGTGCCGTGCAGAATGGACTTGGAATCCCCCAATTTCAAACAGTTTTGGGGGTCTTGGTACTAGAATGTACTAGATATATTTGAAGTCAACAGGGGATTCCTCGCTGCGATGATTTGTTTTTTTGTGAAAATCAGTGCGTGTCTTCAAAGAATGAGTCTCGCTTACAGTAAAAATATGGTACATGAACATACTTGACTATCATGGAGAGATCGATTCTTGAAACCACCTTGTTTTGACCATGGTTTTCCACGACATCCGCCACAACCTCACCTGGGCCTCAGCCATTCATGGGATTTGCGACTTTCAAATCCATTCAAATCCGATAGCATCGCAAAATGCGGATATCGAAAATTGCAGTTGCAAATCCCAACCATTCACATTACTCTTACTGCAGGTTAACTTATATGCTATAATTTAATTATCTATAACTATACATGCAATGCGATATACGGAATTATATAGAAAAACTTGAACATAATTGTTCACGATGTTCGCCACAGAAAGCCTTGCCGCTGGGGTTGGAGATGTTCTTTTGTCCCCCTTTTTGTTGGACCTCTCCAAGCAAGGTAAAGAGACGGTGTGGGTCTTGCCCGCCTTGGAGCCTGAGAAAAAGGAGGCTCATCATGGCTCATCCCAGGGCTGTCCTCAGATTTTCTGATTGTTTTGGCATTCAAATTAGATGTGTTTCCCCACTACCTCAGTACACAGTAACGAATTTTTAGCTGTTTTTGCAAAGAAACCTGGTGGCTTACCTTTCCGTCAGCCTGGATAGACCTTGGTCGCCCAGGAATAGGCCTCTCTGGTTTGGCTGGGTGCGGTGCTGATAAGCTCATAGGCTGCTTAAATCGATTGGTTTCAACACACAACTCATGTGTTTTAGATGGGTTCCTATCTCCAAAATTTGTTGGGGAGAGAGAGAGAGAGAGAGAGTTGGAGTAAGTGAACAGAAGTATATAGCCCAAAAAATACGCAACATCATGGTAGTTATGATAAACCTACAAGGTGGTGCCTTCCCCAGTTATGCTGGTTTACCTTCTTAAACCACCAACATACCAGTGAATCAAACCAGCTTTGCTAACTAAATCCCATGAAACCTCATTAAACCCCACTACTTCTCATTAAACCCCATTAATTCCCATGAAATCAGCATGTTTTGCTGGAAAACATCCCTCTATGGCTTGAGTCAGCAGGCACAGCCCCAGGAGCCAGAAGCAAGCCCTGCACCCAAGGGAGCCTTGGCATCCCTGCTGAGGGGCGAGAAGCCCAAGGAGTCTTCGGAGCGAGATTCTTCGTGTCGGCTTCGATTGGATTTATACTTGGATTTGATGGGATGTAATGGGGATGCATTTAAATGGGATTTGATGTGGGGTGTAATGGCACTTTACTAGTCAACAAACATGATATTTGTAGTTAACTGTACTTGGAAACGGGGGTGTCCTGAAAATCCTGAAATTGCCATTCTATGCCCTATTTTCATTCACCCATAAATAGTTGCTGTTTCCGATTGGCTGAAGGATGTTGTTCCAAGTGATCCAGGTTTTGATGGATAAGATATGATAAGATTCTGGGTAAATTATAACGACATCACTACGACCTCACGATAATCATGAATCATGGTTAATAAGGGGAATCAGCCCCAAATGGCCTTAATTCAGGTTAGATAGGTTAGTGAAATATTATAATTTTCCCATATATAAATTTATAAACTTATATTAATATATATATATATAGATATAATTTAGCAAATGTAATTCAAAAGACATGCGCTAGAAAACCTGGTTTGCATGTATTTAGAATCTAGCTAATATATAATCTGGATGGAGTCTGAAGTCATAGAATTCCCCTGAATCACAGGAGGAAGAAGAGAAGGAAACTTCTCCAGAAGAGCTCAAAAAGTGGCTGGGCAGTGCAGCCATTTGGGGGCCCATTTTCTGGAGGTCCATGTTGTATGTCAGTTTCGTAGATGCGGATTTCTGTGACTTGATTCGGGGGGTTGCTGATTAGTGACATACTTCATTTAGTTGGATTTAGATTTCACTTGTTTGGTTCTTAACTGTTTGTTCTTAATTTGAAATGCTCTCTTATGTTTCATGCGCAAAAGGTTTTTTCTCTGGCACCCTGCCCTAAACAAATAGCAGTACATTTAATTTAGAAGGGGGAACACTTCTACGATTTATTGTGCGTTTGGGATTAACTCAAAGATCATTCCCAATGATGGGCCATCTCAGTAGCCATGGGATTTTCAATCATCCCAGGCCCATTAAGGCCCAAAGATGAAGCTCCCACCCAGCTCCGCGCACTGCGCACCGTGCTTATCCGTGTTTCCTAGGCAGCAGCAAGCGCTCCAAGAGGCCTTGCTCAACTCTCTGCCCGGTGATGAACAGCCGAAGTCGGGGGGCAAAGACGGGTTTACGGAAACCGGAAGGAACCGGCTGGAAACGCCCCAAAAAAAGACCATACTCGGTGGATCTTGGTGGTTTATAACTGAACTAGGATAGATATGATAGAACTAGGTTGGCTAAGTTGGTGGAATTGGCATGTACAGTTAGCTAAGGTACGAGATGGTTCACCCTACCATAGGCTTTAGTAAGGGCTACTTCCCCAACTCATGGGGTTGTACCCGAAAGCCAGCCTGAGTGAAACATGAGAACGTCCAGTTTTTAAAGTGGCCTCCCAAAAACAAAGCACACCATATGATTTCAGGTTCACCAAAATATTATGCTTGGATCATCAGATCATGCCACGGATCGTCAGTGGTTAGTCACCTGATCAAGACAAAATCCACAAGACACTCCGGTTGATGTGGGGGGTCTAAAGACACTGATTTCAACCGTTCATGTTCTCAATCAATTCATCGAGCATCATTTTTTCTGGTTTAATCAAGTTTAATTCGGAAGTGAACACGGGTTTAGTCCCCATTTTGGTTGGTAATTATAAAATCCGCGGGTTCAGACAACCCAGTTTGATTTCTCGCTCCACTGGCTGTTTTTTCTTCCCAAGGCACGAACGCCAAACCTCCCCGGAGCCGAGCCTTAACTCCGATGCGGCGGCAGCGGCTCCGGAGGCACTTCAACATGCCATCAGGTGGTTATGGGTCACTTCCAGATCATGAATGTATTATTTAAATTATATATATATAATCACATATAATTCTATAGATATACACATATATATATAATCACACACACATATATGTATATATTATATACACGTACCCATAAATTCCATAAATCCGTTTACACAGTACACACCTTACTTGCCTTAGGCCCCGCTGAACTTTTTTTCAGAAGGTGATGGAGAGAGATGTTCACATTTTTGTTTACACATACACAAGTATGATATATGCAAGAACGTATGTACAGATATGTACAGATGTATGTATACCTGCTTGCCGCCGTCACTACATGGTTGTAGTGTCAGCGCCCAGCTATGCCAGGCAAAGGAACCAGAGAAGGATGGCCAGGCATGGGCTCTGTGGTCATGGTGAAATTGTAGCGTTTCTTTTGTCATTTGTCTAGCAGATGATTTTCATCCAACTATTGACAATTACTTTAGTTCATTATGTTCTCTGTCGGCCATTCCAAAAAGGTGGTACCCCCCAGTCATGGTTGTTGGTTTAAAAACGCCAACATCGATAGATCTATCTATCCTAGACCGCCATACTTGACCTAGTTATAAACGGACTTATCCAACTAAATCCCATTACACCCCATGTCAAGCCCTTAATTCCTATGAAATTCCATGAACATCTGATTAAATCCCAGCTATAAACTAACTTTGATTACTTGGTTGGTAGCAGTTAATAGCTGCTAAACCCGAAACCGCAATAAATCACAATCAAATTACAATCAAACCTCATTAACCCATTAAACCCAGAACCTCTTGGGGCACCACCAAACTTAGCGGTTCCAGGCAGAAAGGGCCGCCGCGGCCACTACGGCCGCAACGGCCGCCGCGGCGACGGCCAACGCCAACTTCGGTGCAGGCGCGGGTGCAACAGGGTGATGTGGATTTTTCGGCGATTTAAAGTCGGATTTAGTGTGATTTAATGGGATTTGATGGGATTTACATGGGATTTTATGGGATTCTGTGGGATTGAATGGATTGAATGGATTTAAATTGGATTTAATGGGATTTGATGGTTTCAAGCCGACTGATTCCGAGCAGACCAAAAAGAGCGATGGCTGCACCGGCATCTTCCGAAGTACCAGCGGTCGATGAGCCAGAACCGCCGAAGGTGAAGATCTCAGACGATCATCCGGACATGCGCTGCTTAATTCCCTGGACGAAATTGGGGTTTGAGAGCGAGAATGTAGATTCGATTGGGGCACTCACAATTCTGATTTCATTCAATGGAGAGTGGGCACTCAACAAGATATTAGCTTCGCATCGTGTCCGCGGGACTTTTTCAAGAAGCATGCCCACGGCAATTGCCATTGCCTACCTCCGAAGTTTTGTCAAGTCGTTGGGTTATGAACCTGTCGACCAGGTGGCTTGCACCACGCAGACGATTCAAGTGGACCAAAGCTCCCCTTTGTCACCAGCCGAATTTGATAAGTTTAGATGAAGGAAGCGCATGCTAAAAGGATCGAGCGAAAATTGCGAGAGCAGGCCCAGAGGACACGAGGACGAGGACCAAGGAGAAGATCCTGGAGCTATAAGCTTAAGGCTGAAGGCTTGTTCTTTATCAAGGAGCTGGGGGAAAACAAATCAGGATTTAATGTAGTTCAATAGGATTCAATGGAATTTTATGGGCTTGAATGGGATTTGATAGGGCTTAGTGGGATTGAATATCATATTTTAGGGGATTGAACTTGGATTTAATAGTTTTTTTTAATGGATTTAATGGAATAAATATATATATATATAATATCGACTACAATTGATTGGTTTAAGGGAGAATCTACAGAAAACTTCCATATTTGAAGGAAAAAGCATGGTTTCTGGTTAAGAGTTTCCCTTAAACCAACCCATTTGAGAATAAACGCATATAAAGACAATGAGTTGTAAGTGTCCTATTTTTTCACACCACCTTAACAAGCCCTGAAAGAATCATTGCAGGAAATTGCAACTTATGGAATGCATATATCTGGCAGAATATTGGAACAATACCCTCCAGTAGTCAAGCATGACAATTTGGAAATCCACTAAAAATGAAGGCTTCATTGGGAAACTCATCTATAACGGGTGACTTTCCAGGAAGCGGTGTTTGACCGAGGGTAAGGTAAAACATGGGGTTTCTTTTGAATCGCATGAATGATGGAACACGTAAAATTTGGTGGTTTGTCATAATTTCCGAACTTGAATTGCACTGTTGCCATTTTCTGACACACACCTACTACACCCATGTATACGTTTATACATATATATATATATATATATATAAATATTATTTGATGGAGGTTCATGTGTTAATTCACGGAAGATAGATGAACTTGATTTGGATATCACGGGATCATTACAATAAACATCAATAAACTGTCCCTGGTTACAGCGGTTTTGTGACAATCCCAACATATAACAGTCCGCTGCTTCAGACCAAGATGATCCTCGTCCCCTTTGTGCTGATGACTTCCATAGATCCAAGTACCCTATGGATACAAGTACCTTCTTAAGAAGTGTTTGGGGTATAATTTGGTATAATTTGGAGGGTTAAGTACCTTCTCAAATTCTCAGACATTGTTTGGATCCATAGGGATATATGACATGGAACCCCAAAGCCCCAAAGATGGGTTTTGAATATCATTGTCGTGTTCAAAGCGGCATTTCGTTGGGCTGTCATGCTAGTTTTCTGGCGTGTGCCTATTTGTGTTTTGTGTAAAATTTGAGCAACATGTGTTTTGACATCCATGGGCTGGCTCTAATTACCAAGAAACACAAAATTGCAGGGTAGGGTCCAAAGCCCTTGGTCTCCCCAGTAAGAGCTGCTAATGTTTGATCGTTTTTGGTGTTTCGGGTACCCCCGTATCCTATTACTATCATTTTCGCGATGAACATGGCTATAAATTGGGCAAACCCATTTTCAGACATCACATTTATAGCATTTTATAGCCACATTTATAGCATTTTATAGCCTTATAGCATTGATCATGGCGGCCTCGTTGACTCAGGTGTTAACCCCCTTGCCATGGGCGGGATGGATCCCATGCAGGTGCCTGGACCATGGCAATCTACCCACCGGATATATACCATTATATACCATTGTTATGGGTATAATGTGTCATGGGTTACCCTCTGGTAAACGTTAACAAAAAACTATGGGAAGATCCACCATGCTATTAATGGGAAAATCAAGTATAAATGGCCATGTTCAATAGCGAACTGTGAAATTACCAGAGGGTTATATCGATCTTACATCATTATAATATGTTACAATACCCTCCCGCAATACCCTCGGGTAATTTAACAATGTAAGATAGCTATGGGAACCATGGCCTATTTAGTTCGATGAGGTACCTATTAAACCACATAAAACATTATTAAACCGGGTGATGTTCCATACCAAACTGTCAGTTCGCCGGGCGAAGAACCATGCACTGCCCACCCCCTCCGTAAGGGTGTCTCAGGGGTTAGCCATGGTTAGCCCAAGACCTATGGCCTCAATAGCTGGATAAGTTTGGGGGCTTAGATGTTCAGCATAGAATCATTTGGCAACACCAGAGGAGTGGCAAGCGCAGTATGGCAAAGAGCTGTGGATTTGTTCTTTCCAACATGAGACTATCATAGATTATCATAGATGTTCATAGATTATCATAGATCATCATATAGATTATCATAGATTATCCAGGTTATATCCAGGTTATCAACATCCACTTGGGGATGGTTTATTCGATCAATCGTCTCGAACTCAAACCAGAGTGGCAGACCGAAACCGGGCCGACCTCACATTTTTTTTCGGAAACCGGGCGGTTGGACACCGGGCGGAATGTATCATAAACATAGTGATGACAAATATCCCATCGAACCTTAGTGTGGATACAGAATGTTCACCATCTATGAGTTGGTGTCAAGTTGGTGTGTGATGGTTGTATTTTCTTCTACCCACCATCTACAGCTATGGCTTTATGGTCGACAAGGCTGAACCACCAACACTGACATAGATAACTACAACCTCTCGGGTTTTCCCTGCATTTTCCTTTGCTTGTCCATAGGGGTTTTCCCATAAATGAATGGGTTATTAACTCATAATCCTGTCTGGGCCATGTGTGACTTGGCGCAGTTGCAGTCGATGGCAGATTCAGCCTTGCCCTATGTGGTTCACTGGGCACATGATGATTCCAACAAAGCACAACTCGAAGTCGCGATGGCTGGGGCTGCCGCGGCTGCATTCACCATTGGCTCCCGTTTTCAGTGGGCCATTCTCACAGTGCTTTGTTCGTCGGGGGCTCGTACGGTCATCACTGAGCCTACGGCTGTGGCTGATTTGATGCCAGCCAACTGGATAGTCCATAGACCGTATCTTTCGTCCGTGGTCACCTACTGAGTTTGCCAGCCGCCAAGGCACACCTTTGGCTGTTCCAATTATCTGCTGCCCTATCAGTGGTTGCAGCATAGATTGGGGAGCACCCTCATCTCCGCAGAGGTTAGAGCGGTGTTCAGGAATATCAAGGTGGCTATCTTCGACATCACCCAGTTACTAACCACTTACTGTACCAAGTGAGATGATCCTCCAAGATCCTCCAAGTAGTTTGGGCGCCCCATCGAATTCCCTATGAATTTTGCCCGGTTTTTCTAGTGGCCTGCCATAATTTCCGCTTCATTTTCCATGATTTTCAGAGGGCCATGGGTGCAGAACCCCTATGAGGCCATGATGATGGCCCAGATGGGCATGGCACCAGGCTGCCCAGCCCTGCCTGGTTTGATGATGCCGGGCCTGGGAGGCGGGAAACCGGTGGCATGGGAAGGACGGCAGTCCTTTAAGGCCTTGACGGTGTGGAGGAACCAGAAAATATCGGATACCCTCTGGTTATGTAAAAATAGCTATTGAAAATGGTGATTTATAGTGGATTTGCCCATTGAACATGGTGATTTTCCATAGTTATGTTAGTTTACCAGAGGGTAACATGATATAAAATGAATGTGAATGTAGCAGGTGAAGATGATTGAGCAACATATATGGAATTGTGGATGGATTAAAAGATATGGATTTAATAAACGTGATTTAACCATTAACATACGGGACAACCATAATCATGATTGCTGATGTGGTTGCCCTCATGAGTTAAATTGCAAAATATCATCATATCCCCGACTCCTTTGAAGTGGATTTTGACCTTAGATCTAGATGTTGATCCCATTCAGTTGGTGCTTTCAACATGCTTTGGGCCATCCAGAAACGGCTCAGAGCGACCGAGCGACCGCGCCTTACGCAGGCTTGCCTATGCCTGGGATGATGCCAGGTTTGCCAGGTGCGGGTGGCCAGATGGGTTGCTAGGCGGTCTCGATTGGCATTGGATTGAATATTGCGTGTTTTGAATTTGGCTTCCTATTCAAGTGTCCAAGTTTCGTTCAAGTCATGATCTTTGAATCGAGTGCTGCCTGTGGACTTCCCCACAGTCCGTGATAGGCTGGTCAGAAAGGTTGCTTATAGATGCTTATAGTCTTATAGATGCTTACAGCTTATGGAAATCAACATGTGGGAGCCACACAGGGCCAAAGTTCAAAGGTTTGGTTGGATTTAGGAAGCAAAGAAATCACTTTTGGGCATTTTAGGGTTTTGTCCCATGGTGAGTTATGCAAGAATCGCCATAAAAATCACCCAGCCAGGTGTGATGCCGGGCATGCCTGGCATGCCATCGACGATGCCGAGCACCATGCCTGGTATGCCCCCAATGGCGTCCATGACGGGCATGGCGCAGATGCCAGGCCAAGAATAGGGGGATTAGTCACTCGGGTTTAATCGCTGTTATATATAATTATATATATATATGTAGATATATAGACATCGGATTTGTAATAATACTGTTTTTGTGTTGGCCATAAATCTGGGAATATCTTAATCAGCC